GTCGGGCGGCGCCCAGGGTCCCGCCGGCCTCCGCCGCTCCCGGACGCGCCCATGAAGCTGATCGTGCCCAAGCAGCACTGTGAGTAACGACCGGGACCGGGACCGGGACCGACCGGGGCGCTGTCCTGCGCCGGGTTGGCTCTGCGGTCGAAGCACATGCTCCTTCCCCAAACGTCGTGCGAATTAAGGAGAAAAAAAGTAGACCTGGGAGCAGGTGGCAAATTACTTTGAATGGGCGGGAGGGGGGAATAAAAAGAGTATCTTGCAAACAGAATAAACTTGTAAGGTGCTTCTTATGAGCTGTCGCCTGTGGCTTTTGGTTAGTTGGTTTGGGAGGTGTTGGTGAGCTGGCCGTCTACTTCGTGTCTTGTAAGGCTGAGTCTCAGATGTCCGTGTTTGTAACGTCCTTAATTTTATCAGGTTTGTTGGTAAGTATGTTTTACTTACTTGATCATAGATGGCTTATATGTAGGTATGGAAGTATTGAATAATTTCAGGGTAAACTGTACAAGTAAAGCAATCCAATGGAAAAAGTACTCTGTTTGTTTGTGCTCTCGCTTCACTAGCCCTTCAAATGATGCCAACAAATGTTTGGTTCTTTGTTAAAAGTTCAGCATGTTCCAAAAGAGTAATCGGGGATAGTCAGAATCACAGCTACACACTGCCAAAACTTAAAGATGTTTCTACTCAGTAGGAAGTAGTGTGCATTCAGCTACTCTTTTTTTTGTTTGTTTTTTTTTTTTCCCTTTCTCTTGAAACAAATACTTTAAACTTTTCTGTATAAGCAGAACAAAATAGTCAGATACAGCCTCGAAGAGCTGCAGCTTTCACAGGGCTACTTATGAGCCACTGCCTTCTGGTTTTTTAAATGTTTTTGTTGAACTACACATACCACTTTGCCTTAGAATGTACTCTGTATTGGTTAATTGTGTAGTACTTAGAGTACCTGCTGATAGTTAATTTACTCTTCTACCAAATTTAACATATTGATGAGAAAACTATTCTCCATCACAAACTGGTTGTGTAGTCTTTGTCTAGCTTCACATTTTCTTTCACGAACAAAAGCTGCCAAACTTGCACTAACTTACATTTTGATTTGGTGTCACTAAGAAAAGTCAGCACTTGCATATCAAATTCTTCATAATAGTAAAAACTATTTTGAAGCAAAGAATAAAGCTTTTAGGGCTACATGTAATCATTTGAAAAAGAAGAATGAGGAATTTGGAATTTCTCTCCCGTCTTGAGGGGGGAAAAAGAGCCCATCAGAGTAAAGAGCACAGGTGACGGGCTATATTGCCCAAGGTGTATGACAACAGAGTCTTCAGCTGTGGGGTTTTAAGGAAATGAGGCTTTAATGAAAACAGCAGGTGAGGGAAGTGCTTTGTAGAACTGTTTTGTGGGCAATCTTTGTTGAACAAAATACGTGAACTCTTGCTGATCTTATACTTTTCAATTTATATGGTTTATTTTGTACAGGAATAAATTTGCAATTTAGTATTAGTCTTGCAGGAAAAGATGATAGTGCATTTTCACCAGTTTAAAAAAAAAAAAATCATTAAATTATACTTGAATTCTCCTGGTACTGCATAGCTTTCCACTGTTTCCATCTGTAGTGAATACTACACAGTCCCGTTTAACTGGTTTTTGTATTTAATCCTGGCCTTTGCAGATGTTTGTTCTGTGCTTGAGGACACATTGCAAAATGAAGTGCAGTTACCACATGGCATGTAAGACTTCAGAATTGATTGTGGGGTTTGCTTTGCGTGGTGGGAAAGATAATGAGATAATTGGCATTTCCCAATATTTCAACAAATGAAACCTATCTCTCTGCAGTGATTATTCCTGTAAATCCTTATAAATTATATGTTTTCTTGATTGTTTTTATGTTCTGCCAAAGGGAGGTAGAATTCTATATTCCCAAGTCTGATTCCCTCTGAGAAGGGAAGATTCCCTGTGAAACCAGTGTGCTTTGCCGATTACCCTGTGGTGAGAGAGGATCTGGGGACTAACTTGTATCCTTTTGACTCACCTCCTGTTGCTTCTGCTGAGAAGCTTGTCTTTGCTTTGTTGAAGTAGATGAGTTGTCAGTGATATTAGGCTTTTGTCAGTTTTCTGCTTTAAATCGTTAGTGCAGACCGTGTGTGAGATTAGGGTTTATATTACCTTTCTGTATCGCAGCACTGTATAATGAATTCAAAAAAGTATCTATTCTGATGCCTTGTGCTGTGAAGTGCCCCGCAAGAGAATAAAATACTGAACTAGTATGAATTCTGCAAACTTCAAAAGCCGGCTGAAATGTCGTGTTTTTCAGTTTAAATGTGATCTTTGAACTGAAGAAAGAAAAAGAGCTGTTAAGTGCCTTCGTCAATCCCGGTGAAACAGTCTTGTAGCCAAGTAGGGACAAAGATTTCAGCGTGGCAGTTAACTAGACTGGTGCTTCACAGCATTATTCTGCATCAGACATAGGGAAGAAGCCAGCTGGACATCTTAATTCTATTGCTTTTCTTAATTTAAGAGAAAGCCTTGGGGGTCTCTATTCCAATCAGCATCTTACATCTCACCCCAAGTCAGCTGGTAGTTGTTAGGGGTGAAAGAATGTGTTTTTGAGGCAGTGTGACCGTTTACAAGTAATATGTGTTATAATTGCCATGGTTAATTTCTGAACACTTCAAGTTGTAGCTTCACAATAAGGAATGCTTTTGGCCAATATTTAGATAGTTACACCTGTGATGTTTGGCTGCAGCACGGTTATGTAGTACTACTTAAGGCCAGGTGGAAAGTGGAAAACCTAGGGTTTTTTCACCTGTGATGATGTTAAATATGGAATGCCATGATGAGTTAGTATATTTTAGTGAAGAATACAGGAGTGAAAATGATTTTGGTCTTGCTATTTGACACGGTGAGTAAGTACACTATCATTGGTTACTGAAGTCTTGTTCAAGGCATTGGAATATCCCCCAATCTCTTAATCTTAAGAGTTTCTTCATGTGACATGCTGTGTAAAGTTAGTCTCCAGCTGCTTTTAATGTAGGTGGAAGTGAGGGTTGCCTAAGGAATAGGACTGGCCATAACAAACTGAATTAATTGGCGTGTTGTGGTCCTGCATCTTGCGAGCTAAAACTGTGTATCTGCCTTACCAATGAGGTGATGTGTTTCCAAAAGGAATGGGAAACTTACGCAGATAGCTTCCATCAGGCTGGGTGTTCTTACATCCAAGAAGGAGATTCTCGATAGCTAATCGTTGCTTCTTGTAGCTTTGTAAGTTTAGGTTTTATTTGTTGGGGTTTTTTAATGATGCTATACAGGCTATGTAATGACCTGGTCTCCCAGTGCTATCTTCAGAAATCGGTTTGTGGTAATATGACTATATATGTGTGAATGGTCACAACTATTTAACAAACAGCTCTTTGCTTTTGGGTTTGAGGTGTTTTGGTTTGGGGCTGGGTTTTGTTTCTGTTTGGTTTTTTTGTTATTTTCTGGTGAGGAGGTAGACATTCAATAAGCCCTTGCTGCTGAAAATGAACTGGAAAGCTTCACCTGATATATGTGCATCAATTATTTAGCTCTAGCTTTGTAAAGTTTGAAGAACTTCCATTAATTGCGAAGCAGATATAATTACTTTTTAAGCTATGTATTCTGTTCTGAAAACAAATGCTTCCACTGCAACATGTTTGGATTGCTCAAAATAACTGTGTAAAATAGGAAGAAGTAATTGAAAACTATATGTAAGCTATTATCAACTTCTTTTTTAACAGAAAGCAGCTTTCAGAAGCGGTGAGAATACTATCCCATCTCATGTTTGACTCTCGTTTTGGGTTTGTGGTTTCTTTTTTCCCTGTTCTTATTTTTGGCTCTCTCCCCTCTTCCAGTCCCAATTAAAACAGGAAGTTCTTAGATCATCAAAGCATCAAGCAATGCAAATTCAATGCAAATGAAGAATGTAAATGAAGTAATAGAATTTCATCATATGTGTGTCCAGGAAGAAAAGCAGCTGAACCCATGATATTACATCTGAGATATTTATGACCAAGCTACCAGAGTATTGATACCACCATTCAAATTTTTGATAAAAAAAAAAATGAGATACTGTACCTGTGTTCAAGGAAATACAGGTCTTGTAAGAGAGATGTATAAGCTGAAGCAGTTTTGGCAAAAGAAGAAGCTGCTGCAAATTGGTCATGGAAAAATCTAGGGTCCAGATAGAGAGAAGAAAATTCTAACCAGCAGCATTCAGGCACAATCTCTAAGAGCTGAGGAGTAAAAAGATTTAGCTAACTTTATGTGGTGGTTGTTTAAACGTATGAAAAGGGTTACCCTTGGTTATTCTCTTTAATGGGAGGAAATGTTACTTAGTGACCTAGGAGTTCCCTTTCATTCTTGCTTCCCCTGATCTTGTCCATGTTGTGATTTTTGTATTTACCCTCCACACCCCCTCCTTATATTGTATATTCAGTATAGGGTTTTTAAAAATCAAACGTGTTCAATTCTGAATGTAATATGCTTTATAGGAATAGCCTTATAGCATACTCTTCGAAATTCATGCAGAAACTAGGTAAAATGTATTGTGGAATTTCTCAGAGTGAACCTTTCCCCCAGATAGCACAGCTGTTGGTGTGCATCAGATTACCTAATTATGCAATACTGTAGATACCTTCTGTTTGCATTGTCACATGCTTCTGCAGCTAAATTTTGAGTAATGGAGATTTTTATCTCAAGATAACAAACCAGTAAGTAGTTGGTGCAGTTTAACATAAAGAGAATTAATTTTCTTAAGAAGATAAGCAGAGTCTTTTGATTTATGCTAGGTTTTTAAGAATACATGGTTCATCTTGATGCTTTCTGTATCAGTTCTATGGGACCTAGAACTACATTTTATAGTGTTATTTTTTATGACTTACTGCAGTGTAGCAATTCAGTAGAACAGCTTTATTTTTTCCACAATAATAGATTGCACTGATCCAATAGGTATATTGCATACTGACTTCACTGGGAAGAGAGAAATCAGCTCATAGCAGTCTTAGCAGAGAATTTTAGTTAAGTGCATTTTTTGCCCTGTGAAAGCATTTCTGCAACATATCCAGTGTCTTTAATTTTCCATAATAGATCACACAGTTTTAAATAACTGTTACCAGCATAAAATGTGGATGTGACAAATTTAACTTTCTCCTTGCTTTCCTGGCTATTAATAACTCAAGAAACCAGACATTTATTCAGGTTGTCAATGAAACACTGGACTTCCAGTTTAAAACAAACAAACAAAAAACCAAACAACCCAAAACAAACAAAAAAGCCCCCACAATTTTCCTCTCGTTCTCCCTCAAGGCTGTGGAGATGGTGTCTGCACAAATAACCTTTCCTTCTTCATACCCCCTGGTTGTAGCAGTGAAGGCCCTAATAATTGTGATGGCCTCGGGGAGGCAGAAAAACTCAGGAGCACCTTGCAGCCTGTGTGCACGTTCCCGTTAGCACCACGTTCGGTGGTTTCTGGCAAGCTGAAGTGTATAGGTACCAACTAAAGTGAGTTATCTAAAGATACTGAAAAGAGCTGAAGCCAGTGGTGCATTTTGTTTTGGAACATATTGATAGTAACAAAAGATACAAGGAATAATTTTTTAAAATGGTCACTGGAATACAGAATTGTTTCTGCTGTCGGCCCAGTTGTATTGAACTTACATGAATTACAGAGGGACTTGTCAGGAACTTTGAGAGGGTTTTATTTCTCCTAATTGGTCAACCAGTTAAAATAGTTGTCATCTTTATTGCAAGTGATTCCACCAGATAGCTGGTGTTAGCAGCTGTGAAGAAAACTAAGCTGCTGTTCTGCGTAGCTGAAATATCGGTTATTGTGGACTGATCTAGGGCTCTTTATTTGTGCTGAAGAAAACTGCTGTTCTGGGAGCAAAGTTCTTTTCTTTCTGCAGCTCTCCATTTGGCTCACAACAAAATGAAAGGAGCTTAGATTCACAGAGAGAATAAACTAAAAAAAAAAAGTCTCTTGGCATTTCTGCTTGAATTTTCAATGTGAACATTATGTGTACCTATCCCAGGAACTACACAGACTTGAAATAACTTCATAGTTGTTTTCTACGGTACTTATTCTTTGTTAATGATTTAGTTATGACTATTCAAAATGTTAAGATGTAAATGTCTTGGCAGTCATTTATGAATAACTCAGCTGTTAGTACTTAACACTTTTATTGCTGGGCTTGTGTTTGATAGGAGGATGGAGTGCTTCTTTTCTCTCTTAAAGATTAAATCTACGCTATAGCTTTAAAGCAACTGTTGGTGGAGGTAGATTGTAGCAGATTTTATGCCCTTAATGTAGAATATTGGAAGTTGGCTCACACTTAGCTACAGGCTGGTTCTGTATCACACAGTCCAACCATGCTGCTTTTACAATTAAACTTCCTGTTGCATAATTAAGATACATCTGAGGAGGAGACTTACTGCTCCAGTGAGACAGGTAATTAAAGTTCTCAGTAGCTTAAATAAAGATTTGTGTAAATCGCTAATGGGATTGGCGTCCTGAGCACCACTGCATTGTAGTGTTGTGCAGTGTGGACCAGACCACTTTGCTTAAATATTTACTTTGTACCTTCAAAAGTGTTTGAGATACAGGTTAGTGTATGGTAGCATAGTTTTCTTCTTTTAAGATAAAGAGCTATTTTAGAAACGCTTGTTTGAAATTCTTCCCATTTCAGGGAGCTTTCATGCATCTGCATAGGATATATCTTCCCAAACCTCAAATTAGACTTCATTTCAGTGTCTTTGTGTCTTGCAGCTTGTAGGGCATGAAAAAAAAAAAAGACTTTGCCACAGATAACAGTAGGTGCTCTTAGAAAAACTCAACTGTTAGCAAGCTGCTTCATGGGAGTTTATGCATTGTGTCTTCCTTGTCCTTAGGGAAAGTGGGGTTAAACTGATGATTAATTATTTGGCATACAGCAATGGAGCAAAACAACTGTTTTAGACATCTGACATTTAAGGATTGGTTGTGGGGAGGGGGCGGTGTGTATTAATAACTGTGAAATTTAGACTTTTTAGTTGTTCAGCCAGACAAGAATAATGCTGAGACCCTTGTGGTAAGAAGTAAAAGACTTTAAGCTCCTTTTAGCCTGAAGCTGGGTGACTTAATACTGAGCTGTGATTACCTGAGGAAGAACAGTGTGATCAGTACCTTCTATGCTAACTAAAATCTTTGCCGCAGATTGTTTACACTTATGTTCGCTGGCAGAAATATCAGTAATGTATATGGTGTCCGTGGTTTGAAGTTTGTATCAGCACTAAGTTGGGATGCTGTAGTTGGTAGAATCACGTTTCTAACAAGTCTGCCTGATTTTCCCTAAAAGCAGAGAGGTGACTTTGTGACTGCTATTTTAGAAATGGGTCTTAGATGTTAGCCATGTACTCAGTACTTGTAATTTAATTTCTCTAAGAAACATTACTAGCTGCCTCCTTCTGGGGTACCTGTGTATAGATTTTTGTATTCTCATTTCTTACTGCTTCATAAGTTACCTGGCTTACTATTTAAAACATATACATGTTATATATATAGGCAGACCAACCTGGTGCAGTTGGTGTCTTCGGTCTGTGTGCTCTCCATAGTGATTTTCTCTTTCTATTAACAGAACAAAGTTTTTGGTAGACCTAGGCCAGCTGTGGCAAATACATACATAGGCTGAGAAGCAAATAGTGGCATTTCTTGTATAGTTGTATGATAGGCTAGCACGTACCAGCAAAAGGAGTTTATGCTCAAAGAAAAGGACTGGCAGTAGTAAATACTGAACTTAAAACAGCTCATTCTCTTTCTGCTAATATATGCAGGTGGTGTAATTCCAACAGAGCTGCTAGTTCTGGTGGGTTGAAGCCTTGAAGACTCCCAGCATAATGGGAGAGTTATGTATTGCTGCTCCTCAGACAGAGCCTTGTGACTGTGGAAATTCCAGCTGGTCTTGGAAAGGCGACTGTAGATGTTACGCAGTGGGAATGTGACTTGGGAAATCTTGTTCTCCTGTTTGGTGGTTTCTTCCTCCTCCCCTCCTTAGTCTATTTTAAGAATTGGTGCCAGGAGTCAGACTGGGTGAAATGTGCTCTGTCAAGAGGTGCTGACTGAAGAGTAAAATGTTTTCCTGGGAAAAAATATTTTCGTTTTATTAAAACCTGCTTCTTCAGAGAAGAATATTTTGAGATTTTCTTTATTCTTTTTCTTAGCTGAGGCTTCATGTAGTCTTAACTTAAAGAGGTGTTTAGTATGTGTGCATTGGACATGTAAGTGACCGCCAGCTTTCAAGAGCAGATGCTGCTACTGTAGTTGTGCTGAATTGTCATTTACCTATATATTTATAGTGTCTTTCTCTTCCTTCCTAACCCCCTTGTCCTTAGCTTTTCCATGGTTTGGAATGGATATCGGTGGAACGTTGGTTAAACTGGTCTACTTTGAACCTAAGGACATTACTGCAGAAGAGGAACAAGAGGAGGTGGAAAACCTGAAAAGCATTAGGAAATACTTGACCTCCAATACAGCTTATGGTAAAACTGGCATTCGCGATGTCCATCTGGAACTGAAAAATTTGACTATGTGTGGACGCAAAGGAAACCTGCATTTCATCCGCTTTCCCAGCTGTGCCATGCACAGGTTCATACAGATGGGTAGTGAAAAGAACTTCTCCAGTTTGCACACTACGCTCTGTGCCACAGGAGGTGGAGCTTACAAGTTTGAGGAGGACTTTAGAACGGTACGTGAACAGTTCGTAAGGGTTCAGTGGGAAGTACTTTGGGGAACCATCATGGGAGTCCTTCTGTTAAAACTTGCAAAGAAAATAACACTTGTTTTGTCCATCCTAACTGGTTAAGATTAATTAACAAGTGTGAATCGATTCTGTTAAAGGAATTGCCGAGAACATGCAGGGGAGAGGGGAAGGTATTCTACTGAAGTATTACTGTGCAGAATGTCTTTGGTAAATGTTTTAAGAGTACAGCTGTGATGATCAGATGCCTCATAATCATCTGAGGGTGTGTTATGACAACCTAGAGACTAGGTACTCATCTTGCAAACTGGATATCTATTAGAAAATCAGAAATTTAACCATACAGACTAGAGATTAGATTCAAGTTCCCTTCCTATTGTATTAGTCTTCAAGCAGACTTAAGTCCAGAGTCTGGAAGACCAAGCATGGAGCAGGGGTTGAAACAGTGTATGGAAGCATGCCAATAGCAGCTAGCTTCGGTTTCAAATTGGGGGATACATCATGTGAAGGAAGGCAGTTCTTGAGGGGACTAGGTCCTAGATCCCCTAGAATTTAAAAAGAACCTTTGCAGGGAGCTCCAGAAACTGATGTAAATCTGCAGTATTGGGATGCTGTTGTTTATGCAAACTTCAGCAATAGTCCCAGCTCCTAAATGAGTGCACTGCAAAAATTAATTGTCGCAACAGAAGCGTAGAGAGCTGTTGTACAAACTGCATTAGAGAGAAATAGTAATTTGGGAGCCAGTTGTGTATGTGTCTTTGAGGGGGGCATATCTCCATTTATTTTCTGTAAAAGAATGACTGTTCTGTCTGTACCAGAGCACTCTCACTAAAATTAATGTGAATGATCTACTTGGCAGGCAGGTCTGACAGTTCTGTCCCTAGCTTTTGACCTGATCTTGAGGGTGAGGGATGACTGCTGGGTATGACAGGTTACATCAGTTGCTTTTCAGTCTTGGGAGCTATCATACTGATTTACCAACTGCCGTTGACTACAGTCCTTGGCTTTGTGTGCTTCATTTTTAACTCCAAGCATCCATTCCTGCAGTACAAGAGGCTCTTTCTTTGTCAATACGTGTCACCTACCAGATGACCAGGATCCTAAGGGGGAAAGAGAATGCTGTAAGAGATCAGCATGAATTCCAGCTGTTACACTGTTGTGCAATCATTTTCAGTAAGTGTTGGACCTGGAAGCAGCTAGCCTAATGAAGGACTATGAAGTTTCTGAATTGCTGTAGTATTCCACTACTAATGCCAGATTTCTTGTCGCTTAGGCTGAATGCAAGTCCCTTGTGTGTTAGGGTCTGCTGATGACTGTTGAGTCCTCAAAAGTTTTAGCTTGTCTTGCATTGTGTAAGGATGTTGGCTCCACAGTAGGAGGCGAGTTCTAGCGCTAGTCAGCGTGGCCTCAGTTCATGTTTTCAAGTGTCCTTCGATGTGTACAGGGGATGATTCAGGTCATGTTTTCTGGTGACAATGGGAGGTCACTTGAGACTCTGAAGAGGCTGACTATCCCTTTGCAATGGTTAGTCTTCCCAAATTCATTTTTCCTGTATCATGTAATAGCAGCTAGAGTTGCTTACTTGGTAAGGAAGTCCACGTCCCTTACTCCCACAGCTGTACAATTGAACTGGAAGTTGCCTGGTGGCTACACAGCTAAGTATTTCTCCCAGTAGCTTTGACTGGCATAAATGTGCAATTTACAGTGAGGGACCAGTCTCTGTCATGTCAGCTGCAATATAGTCGATGTAGCACTGGAAGCAATAGTTGAAGTTGGGGCTGTTTTGCTAGCTGTTGGACCAAAATATGAGGTCACGTAGCAAATTACTGGTGGACTTAGGCATGAAGTCCCACGTTTTTGCAGTGTTAGTTAGCATTTTGTGTGCTGCAACACTTGTATGCAGTTTAAGAAGAGCACTATGAAGTCTGGCTGGGGTGTTCTGTAGCATAGAGCAATCAGTGAAGTGCACTCACACCTAAGTGAGTACTTTGGGCACCTCCTCTTACACCTATACAGTTCCACACCTGCCTTTATAGCAAGGATTTCTTGGCTCGAACTGTAATATCCACAGAGTATTACAGGAGCAAAAGACTATCCATTACGTGAAAGTTTGCTTGCTTAATCTCTCGCAAAGGGCTGAGCGTCCTGGGTACTGGCACTTGAATTGTCACACTTCATTAGCCATTGTAACAGCAGCTGGCTATCTCAGTGTGTTCTGCTGACTGTAAATTGACATTGGACAACAGCTTCAGGATTGCTCTCTCAAAAGCATTGAAATGTCTGTTCTGAATATTTGATTGTTGTAATGCACCTGTAGAAGTAACGAACGTGTGCCAAGTCTACTATCCTGCTGTTGCGGGATTCAGTATTGTGTAAGGCCTCATATGGAAGAGGCTTTAAATGTTACTGGTTCTGTTACTTAGAAGCAATGTGGAAAAACTAAAGTATGTTTGTGAATGTTGTTAATTTCATCAAAAAAACTGGCTAAATGCTAGGAAACTCGTGAAACTGATACTTGTAACATGCTTGTGTTCTGGCCCTCTATTTCCCTGTGTACATGCTTTTACGTTACTTGTCTTTCATCCTATTTCTAAATGCTTATGGGACTTTCAGGATTGCATAGATTTAGGAAAAAAGATCCAACATATTGCAAAACAGCATTCAGATCCCAAAGAAGGAATCCTTCTAAGATTACAGTAGCTTTTTCCTCCTTAAAATAGACAAGCAAACATCCTGGTGATACTTGCCTGTTCCAGTGTCTAGTTTCTGAATCCCTAAATGAGTTAAATACATTCGATCTAGACATCTGTTGCCTTTGTGTATTAAAAAAAAATAAAACAAAATTGGGAGGCATCTTCTGTTTACTTAAGCCTGTCTTCTGTGCCATAGATAGGCAACTAAAGCTACAAAATTAGCTAGGTTTAGCTATCTGACCTCCCTCCCCTGTGATCCGCAGTGTTGGATAGGAGGGGGCCTGGAGAAGTCTCCATGGACTGCTCGGTGACTGCCAGCAGTAACGATCAGTAGCCTGGCAAATCATTTGATTCATTCTGAAGATTTGAATGCTTCCCGTAGAAGTAGGAAAACTGACTCTAGTCATTAAACTAGACCACAGAAATAATTTTACCGACCATATGGTTAGACTTACTGTTCATTGAAGAGCATGAGTAAGTAATTCACTAAAAGGACTGTTTCCAGCTTAGGGTGTTTCGGTTGATTTTGTGTCTTGTTCTGTTTTTTTTCTCCATTTCTGAATGACTGGTCTTTATGGCTGGCCAACTTTATTTTCAGGTAACAGTAGTGTTAAGGCATGGATGAACCTGTTGCCTAATTCTGATAGTTCTCCCTCCTTTCCCCAGCTATGTACTGTCACCTCACATATTCTGTAAGTGCTCGAGTAACACCACTTCTATAAAAGTAAGGAGTACATAGACTTATTTGCTTGTGTATCTGCAATATAAATAATCTATACGCTGCATGTCCTTCATGATAGCACACCTACATTACTTGCACAAAATTATGCTGTTAATGTAACGAGGAATAAATTCCTAGGCTGTCACTCAGTTCTGTAAAGCAACTCAATGTAAAGGGTACATGGGGGATGAGGGAAGAAAGGACTATTCAGACTTTTGTCTAAAACCTGCTCTATTGCAAAATTCCTGTTGATTGCACTGCCTCAAAGGTGGGATCTTTGTTTTCCTTTCCTGAACAGACATCTACAGACTTGTCTTGATAAAAATTTTACTGCTGGCTTCGGTGAAAACAGGGCCTGGGCAAAACCCAATTGCTTAATAAAGAATATTTGGGGCAGGGAAGGGATGAAATCTGTTACCAACACAAATGTAAACTTTGGCCTTGACCTTCCCCATAACTTGTAACAAAAACGCTTTAAGAGTAAGCTTGGCTCTTGGAGAGGTTTCCTTGTGCTGCGTAACTCTAAGTTAGCGTAAGACACTCCAAGTTGTCCCTCACTTGCTGGAGGAGGCGGGACACTGCTGCTCGGGCCGTAGGTGACCCAAGTCTTTGACTTACGTGCTTCCATACTTCAAAGCAGCAGCAAGTTGGTACCACGTTTTTTCCCTTTTATGCTGTCTGGTACTTGAATACAGCTAAAAATTGTTAGATGTTATGCGTATTATTTAAAAACAAACAAACAACAAAAACTAACCAACAAAACCCCTGAAACCTAAACTTGGACAGTGCCCTTTTCCAGCACTTCTTGCAAGTGTACAAGAGGTGTGCTTTCATTCTCCTTAGAATAACATCCGTATACAGTAACAACAAACCTTTTGTGTATCCTTGAAATCAGCTGGGTTTCAGGATTTTGTTGCTAAGGTGTGAACTGTCATGGGGAAGTGTTCACTACTTCCTTGCTGTGTTGCACCTGCTTGTAAACATGGCTAAAGTCCTGAGTCCCTCCTTTTGATGGTCCTGAAGAGTTCCTTGAGGTCCAAAGTGTTTTCTTCCCTCCCCTCCCTGGTATTTAAAAACCAGTCCGAAATAAAAAGGAATTTCTGCAGTCTGGCTATAATGCAGAAAAATTGTGCTTTTAAAAAATGTGCATATGGTTTCCCTGTAACCATCACAAATTTTCCCTCGAGGGCTCTGTATACAACTTTGTTCTGCAGTTCTTCCTCTCATAGCACAACTTTCTGACCCTAAACTTTTCTAGAGAGGCACTGTGTTGGATATAGTTACAGGAGCGCAGAGCAGGATGAGTTGACCATTATGCTGTCTGCCCCCATGTTGGAGATTGTAAATGGCTGGAAAATATCTGCAAATGCAATTCTGTAAAAAGTTGTAGGAAAAACTTCCCATTAAAATGTGCTTCCACACAGCTCCCGTTTTTGCTTTGCGTTTCTGCACATAAACTTCAATTCCTGCAAGGAGAAGTGGTTTGGACAGCTGGAAGATGAGGATAAGTAGAGTGTGGTAGGTCAGGTTTTCTGGTGGCACCAGGAAAAAAAAAATAACACGTTTGCCTACCCATACATTAGTTACGATACTTACAGGCACATCTATTTTGTGATGCAGTTTTGCTGCTCACGTTTGCCTACCCGTACATTAGTTACGATACCTACAGGTATCTATTTTGTGATGCAGTTTTGCTGCTTGAGTCAGTGTGAGCAAAGAAACAAATAGAGGAAAAGGCAGTTCTGTATGCAGGGAAGGGGACTGGGAATTGTGACCCTGGCTTTATGGTGGCTTCTTGTACAAGACTGGGTTACTACATTTCGTGCAGCTGTGCCCTAAACTGTGTTTAGAAATGAGCACTGGGCTGTTTGGGGCCTCAGAGGTCTGGTGGCTGCAGAGCTCGTCGTTCTCTGAATGAAGGCGGATCGACGTGGAATACTGATACCAGTCTTTCTCCTTCCAAAAATGAAAACCAGACTGCTGCAACAACACAGGAAAATAGTTTTTCAGTCTGCTATGAATATCATACATGAAAGAGCAGTAATAGGGCTTTTCTGCTTACAGTATATCAGCTGTTAAATATAGCACAGAGCTATAAAAAGCAGAGCAAATTCTAGTATGTCTTTTATATGTGGAGGGCTGGACCTAATAAAACTTCTATGCCTAGTGCTTGAAAAAGAACCTTTGATTAGTTTCTTTTGTTCTGTCCTTACAAAATCGGTGAGCTGACCAGAGAGTTTGTAGAAACAAGGATTTTGTCTGTGTTTTTGCACTGATGCCAGAAGTGTTTTACTCTTAGATTTGTATTGCTTACTCATTTCTCGCAAGGTCTCTTACTGATGCTTACCTGTTTGTAAGAAGGTAATGCAGATGAAACGAAAGCAGCTTGTGGCTGGGTATTTGGTTTATGGGGGAATAGAGGTTTTGACAGTAGGCACCATAAGTCTGCTATTGACTTGTCTTTGTCTCGCAGGCTTCTGGTTCATAGCATCTGTGTGTGTGCTGTACCTGTGTTAGATCGTGTTTGGTCATGCTGCATCTAGCTTATACAGTAAGATGAGGAAATTGAGACTGTACAGCACATAACATAGAGAAAGATCATGGGTAGTATAGAATCTTTCCTTATTTTGACTAGCTATGTGCAACATTAATTGGGCTTTAACAAAATAAATCCTCTAACGAGTGGTGACTTGGTGTGCTCCATACAAAGTCCATTGTAAGAAAGAGTGCAAGAAGCATATATTATGTTAATGCCTTGTATGGTGTATCTCTTGATTGGAGCTTTTCCTCTCAGTCTAATAGCAAGAAATTGCTGAAATCCAAGATATTTGCAAAGCAACCTTAAGATTTTTGTAGTGTTTCTTTAAAAACCTTTCTCCTAATTTGTGTTTATTCTTTTTATTTGCTGGCTGAATGGTTCAAGTCTTTTATGCTGCATTTCTGTAATTGTAATTTGTATAGCCATGTGGTAACCAAGAAAATATGAAGGGATTGCAAAAGTTACAAGAGAAAATAATGAAACAAGGAGAAATGATCTCCACCTGTCTCTATTGTCCTATGAATAACTGGATCTATATTGAGGTCTTTCAGACTGCTGGTTTGGGGTTTTTTTGTCTTATTTCTTTTCTATGGTTCCAGGGTTTGATGACTAGCAAATTTAACAAAAGGGCAGATCCAAAGAATAGAATGGCTTTCAGTTAAGGCAAGTTAGAGCTATGCACAAGTAGAGGAAAAAACCTAAGGGGAGAGATTTAAATAGCTCAAAAGAATGTAACCTATTGGCCATGACCGTTCCATAGAAATATCTTTCCTCCTTGTAGTGACTTAATATAGCTCCCAGAATTAAAAATAGGAGGTAGTTAGCTTCATAAATCTTCTCTATTAGCTGTTGCAAAAACATCCTGCAATATGCAAATGTTGGAGAACCAGCCCTGTTCTTTATAGCTCCCTTTTGTTCCTAATACCCTGCTGCTTTTTCTGCTAGAAAGTGGAGTTAAGTTAGACCTACTTTGCAGGTGTGAGGATGCAAATGACCTCAGGATTTGGACGGGCAACTTTACTATTTTTCCCTCTCTCTCCTCTCCCTAACACCAGTCTAAGCTCAATGTCATTTGGAAAGGAGATTTTCTACAGATTGTCACTGTATCCTATTTCAAGAAAGGGATGTGATTTCTAATTCTAGTAAACAGAATGCTATGGCAAGTAGACATGTCTGTTTAAGTACAGTCATGGGTGACCTGTGAGGTCTCAGAGGGAATGTGCTTTTTAAGCTCTTCCCCCTTTTTTTTTTTTTTCTGCCTTCTGTTAGTTACATTTTTATGAACATCTTGCTGGGGGCATGGGCCTGACAATATTTTTGTTTGAGTTTTTTATATTGCTTTTCACCAAGCATTAGGAATACCCTGTTTTTCATGAGGCATTTTAAAGTGCTCATCATGATTTAAAGAAAGAGATGTCTCAGATTACTGGTGACATTAAAAAAAAAAAGCAAATAATTTAAGTATAATCCACTGCATATTTAATGTTTATTAACATAAACATGTGCACGTTGTAAGGCTTTAACTATTTTTTCTTTAACTGAAGTACCTTAGTTTTAATGCTTCTGTTGAGTATTTTATTAAATTGCTGAGAAACGTAGCTGGGTGACGAGTTAAAGCACTTTGCATGCTGAGGAATGCTGCTTTGCAGGCTTGTGTCAGATACTGGCCAAAAGCTGCAGAACGCAGCTCCTCTTGGGGTGGGGATGAGGGGGGAAAAATTTATTGCCTCGGAATACTGAGGGGGAGAAATGTTTCTTGGTGGCGGAGCAGGGAATATCTCAAAGGCAAAGGAACTAAACGACATTACTGCACAGCACATCATTGTTTTGGGAGGTACCCGTTGTCAAGCAGGTAGCAAACTCCTTTTCTTTTGGACTTCATGCTTAGACAGATCTTTGTACTGTTTAAATAGCATAATGTGTTACTATTAAAGTGATCAAAGGGCTTCAGCTGAGCCTTTTGTCCTTCTCAGTGTTGTATTATGCTAGGAAATGTTTGTTTATTAATTTCTTGTTGTTCTCTTCCAGATTGCTGATCTGCAACTCCATAAACTGGATGAATTGGACTGTTTGATCCAGGGCCTCCTTTATGTTGATTCTGTTGGTTTCAATGGCCAACCAGAGTGCTATTATTTTGAAAATCCTACAGATCCTGAACAGTGCCAGAAAAAGCCTTACTGCCTTGATAATCCGTATCCTATGCTGCTGGTTAACATAGGCTCAGGGGTCAGCATCCTCGCTGTGTATTCCAAGGACAACTATAAGAGAGTCACGGGAACCAGGTAAACTTAATTCTGTGTTCTTTTAATTCTGTTTTCTTTCCTCCTTAATAAAACCAGGCAGTGTGACTAGTAGGTGCAGCCCCAAATTGTGCTTGTCTTCCCATTTCTTTTAAAAGCCCACCAGCAGCAAGGCTGGAAATATCCTAGGATTGCTTCAGAGAGAGGATCTACATCAGAGAAATCATGGATCCATTCAACTTTAGAGCTGCCCTAGTCTCTTCTTGGTGTTTGTATCTACTTCCTATCTCTTGCTGTGAACTACCAAAATAAAGCTGTCTCAGTAAATGAATCTTCTCTCCCCTGCTTTGATCCCCCAGAGCAGTAAAATAAAAACATTTGGGTTAAACAAAAGCCTCTTGCTTAGTAGTTAGGATGTATCCAGGATTTGCAGAATTACCTGCTACTACTGGATTTTGACAGAGGAATCTTACTAGGTCTCCTGTTTCCTTACAGATTGTACTAGTCTTTGGACCATGCTGGTAAATTAAGGAATGCCAGTGTGTAGTGACTGGAATCTGATTGTCTGTATTCTTACTTTGTCCTCGGCGTGATTTCAGCCAGGGTCAGCTAGTGCTATCTGAAATAATTTGTAGGGTACAGCTGAGTTGACATCATCTCTGACCTATGTTCAGTAAGAGATTTAGATGTGACTGCTCTGTTTGGGAATTGAGGAGTTCAGTAGTGTGGATGCAAACTTTTGTTTTCACGGCCAAAAAAACCAGCCTGAGGCATGTTTAAGTTTATAAATGTGGCAACAGTGTTTACTTATAGGAAACCACATTAGTTACAAATGTATCCATCCAGACTAGCAGTGAAAATGCCAATAAATCTGTCCCACTTTTTCCTCCTACATGAAGCTAAATCGGTATACTTCATTTTTAGTAATCTTGTAATCTTACAAACAAAAACAACCCCCCAAAACAGAAACCTAAAAGAAATCCCCTTCCAAAACAACAACCAAAGAAGCTTTTTGGGTTTGCTATAGTCCCTTCCAAAGCTGCATTCTGTTCTTCAGTGCATGGTACATATTAATAAAGTTTCTCCTGTATACTGCACATGGCTGCATATATGTCTTCTGTTGCCTTATCTAGGGCATATCTTTGCCAGAATGGTAGCCACGAGCCATTTTCTGTATAAAATACAGGTGAACAAAAGTTGAATGGGAGAGTTATTGGTTCTCTTGCAGTTCTGGTTGTTCTTCCTGTGTAGCCCTTTTGATACCTGTAGATGTGCTCCTGATCTTTTCCACTATGAAAGGAAAAACATGACTGCAGTGGGCTGCTGACTTGTTATAGATGATGAAATCAATACTGTCTTGTGGCTGGTGTGCAGAGCTTCCTACTGTTCAGTTACTGAATATATTACAGTGCTTAGATGTGTTCTGAAAAACTTGCCTAATAATCTGAGAGCACTGACTGAATGGTGTTCCTATCAGACCTCCTGTGCTTTTTTTATGAAGTGCAAGTGTGGTGTCTCACTGATCCTCTTGTTTACAGTGGCTCCAATCGGTGTGACTGCAATCAGTGCAAATAAGTTAACTTTCTCAAGGGTTAAGAAAGAATGAGGAAGGATGTAGAGGTTAGTAAGCTGAAGTTCATGTCTGTTAAGACTGACAAGTTCAAAGTAGAATTTTAATGAAGTGAGTTAGCAACCTGTTATGCACAGTCCCTGCTAAATTTATATAGTAAATATTGTACTTGAGCCCGTGCAAGATATTAAAGTGTCTGCTCCTTGCTCAGAGGAGGCCTTGCTGGAGTGCTGAGACGTTCAGGGCTGATGGTAGTCTTGCTTTGAACAGGAACCAACCAGACTGCTTCCTGCCACTGGCTGGAGCGGGACAAGATCTCTCTTGGCTGCCTGCATCTGCATAGATATTTAGCTTTGATCACAGTTTATTCTTTCATCACTGATTTAAGTGATCTGCTGTCTAATTATTCTTGCACAAGGAAAACTTTCTAGAGCGCTACAAATAGCAAACTGAAGTCTGCGGTGTTGGATTGGACCTTATTCTCAGCCAGCCATTTATTTAGCATCGCTCCTCCTATTTAAATATTAAGGGCTTAGGAGCAGTTCAGTTAAAAGCATGCTGGATAACATTTGTGTTAAGTAGAAACTCAATTTAAGGTGTCTGTCTTCACCTCTATGAGGGAGGAGTTGCAAGGTCCAGTTGGTAGCTGTGTAGACCATGTTGAAAACAGGAGTCTGAAGAGCTGTGGTAAAAGCTGGTTCAAGCTGCTGTTCTGAAGGAACTCTGGTTTTCTAGTCTTGGAGGAGGAACGTTCCTGGGCCTGTGCTGTCTGCTGACTGGCTGCGAGACGTTTGAAGAAGCACTAGAAATGGCTGCAAAAGGAGACAGCACCAATGTGGATAAGCTGGTGAAAGATATTTACGGAGGAGACTATGAGCGGTTTGGCCTTCAGGGGTCTGCTGTAGCCTCAAGGTATGTGTTAATTGAGCTGTTTTTAAGGAGTTCCTTGGGAAACTTACTGTGCATGCTGAACTGAGTATGTAATCCCTGGACTATGCACTATGGCCATGTGGAAATGTCACTCTGAATGTATCATGTGGTTTGTCCTTAGATCTCTCACCTACTTCTTGGTTTGGTGGTTGTTTTTTTTTTGTGAACAGGTGTAAGCAATACTTGATGTAGTTTGCTTCTGTTTAAATTAGTTATTTTAGAAGTGTCTTTGCTCGTTGTTCTGCCTTTCCAATGAGATCCCTTTTCACATGTTCAAATCCGTCTCAAGTCAATGGATATTATATCCAAGCGAAGCTTATTAACTGATAAAATTTCTAAGGGCTCTTAGCACTCCTAAATAACTCATATTAAAAGGAATAATCTTCCTCACACAGCTTTGGCCATATGATGAGTAAAGAAAAGAGAGATTCCATCAGTAAAGAGGACTTGGCCAGAGCTACTTTGGTCACCATCACCAACAACATAGGTTCTATTGCTCGCATGTGTGCATTGAATGAGGTAAGATAGCATATTTACTATGAGCTTAAAACCTTTAGAAACAACCTAGTAAGATTATCAGAGTACAAAAATGCAAATTGCTGGTATAGTAGGTGTGTAACTGGTCTTGGTAAATATGCGTATTTAATGTGGGGTCCTAACTCTTGTGTTTTGTGTGACATGTATGCTTTGATGCAAAGTGTAAGGTACTTCTTTGAGCTTCAAAGGTAGGGAAGAGGGGAGAAAAGTTGACTGTAAAGATCTCCTTGAACCATTTATGCTCCCAAGCTGTAGTACATAGTTATTAACACGTTTGTAATCCAAACTAATGCTCTCAATTACCTTGTAGATACTGACATCTTACTGTACCGTGACAGTTTTTTTTTTTAAATAGGATTTCGCTTGGCTTGTTTCCATAGCATGATGGGTTTCAATTGTGTATTGTGTTTAAAGTTTTGAATAGATATAAGATCTATTGTATTGGGACAGAGAGGAGAAAACCATAATTTGTTATCCTGCCTCAGACTTGTATCAGATGATTGTTACATTCTCTTCTTTAGGCATGATAACTATGGATGGATTGTTCCATTCATACACCTTTCCAGCTTCTAGCAGTTTAAAAAAAAAAAAAAAATAACAAAAACCCAACAAACATTTAGGCACTTGTTTTGAGCATGCAAATTGCATCCTTTAATATTATGTGGTAATTGATCTCATTTGTCTGCTCTCGATGGATTTATCTAATATTTTTGTAAATACATTGATGTTGTTAGCTCCACAGTGTTCTGTGGTTAGAAGAAAGTGCTAATTTTTATTTTTTATTCATTGACGCACAGGCCCCCCCCGAAGAAACCAACAACAAAGCAAAACCAAAAAGCTCATCAAACTGTTATCTGGTTACTTTATTGGGTCCTATCTAGCTTTTAGCTTTAGGAGAACTAGCAAATAATTAATTACTAGTGCTTTTGGTGGGTTTTGGTGTTTGGTTTTTTGTTGGTTTGTTTTGTTTTTTTTTAATAAACCTTTTCCACATTTCCCTCTTGGTCATTCCAAGACATAATTCCTAGTACTTTGTCTCCTCTCTTATGGAAGACACTCTGTGTCTCTTTTCCACTGTTTCATTTTGTCTCTTTAATCTTTTTATGGTTTTAATTTTGAGATCAACTGATCAGATCTTCATGCAGTATTCAGAGTAGGGTTGCACAGTAAATTTGTGATGGCGTATTGATAAATTTCGTACCTGAGTTCCTTTACTAACAGTTCTTAGTATTTTGTTTTTGTGAGCATGGTGCTTATATTTTTCAGAAAGCCTCCACACT